CACGTATTGGTTGATTTGGAAGAGTAACAGAAGGACCACTAACATTAAGAATATTTGTTTCTGAAATGATAATATCAAGTGGACTTGTTCTTGTCTCAAAATATATGTCATTCCATTCCAATCCATAATCATTTAAGAAACGAATGGTAGTATAATTATTAGACACTGTCAATGTGTATAACGACCCATTATACAAACAATCCGGATAATTAATTGTTAACCATGAAATATGTGCATCTGTTGACCCGGTTGTAATTTTACATGATGAGTCAGGTTGTGGTTCTTCAGACTGGGACTTTTGTCCTTGACAAATGACATATCTTCTAAACCCATTAATATTTGATACCTCTTTAATAACTCCCCATTTAATATCTGGAAGTTTTTGTTCTCCATTAGTATTAAATGCATACCAACATCCTTCTTTGGTGTTGTCATTGTTGTTGTCATTTATCCATATTTCTTTTTTCGCTGTATCATTCTTTTCTTGGTACAAATACAAGTATGGACGGTCTTTAGTTACCCAAATTAGAAAAGTCTTAGAACATAGTGTTGTATGAAACACTGCAGGTCTATCATAAATGTAAAGGTTTTCTTGATTTGCTGTATCACTAAAACAGTATTCCCTTTCAACAATAATATAGAGTAATGACTTGTAATTTTGAAGTTTAAAAGTTGTAGCAGCTGCAAATTTAGGAGGTCTTACAAATAATTGTTTAATGGAAGCGTCTGAATCAAAAGTAAATTCAGTTGAGCCAGCTTCATTGATCAGAATACTCAAATAAGATAACCCATTTTCACAACAATCTGATTTAAATCTAAACTTTTTAGGATTTGAATTCCTGTCATATTCCCACCCTTTTCCTGAAGAAACACATTGACTAAAAGGATACTTGCCATAATTTAAAACATTCTTATCTGAATTAAAATATATGTAACACTCATCCGAAATAGCAAATTGAAACAAGAATAAGATAAAAAGGAACATGTACTGTTTTGGAGATGAATTTTTTGAAATAAAAAAAGAGAATTGAATCAACTTTAAGAAGAGTTGATTTTTTAATAGTAAACAGCACATAGGAAAATTCGATACAAATTTTTATGAGAAAAGTTATTGGTTTAATGAAGGACTTATTATTGAGTTATATATGACATAAAAAAAAATAAGAAATAATAGATATATCCGCAATTGGATTTTATGATTATTGAGAAGTGATTGTTTCAATGATTTCAATATGGTCTATTTCTACAATAGAGTTCACTTCTAACATACTCGCATTAGAAGATTCCTCTTCTAATGTGTTGCCAGTGTTGAATGTGTAGAATATTAAGTATTTCATGTTTTTAATAATGATTGTTCGTAGTATTTTGGGGAAGTTGATTTGTAATTTTAGTGATTTTAATCTTCTTACTGATTCATTATGTATCAACCCATTGATTGTTAATATTACAGGTATTATTTCTACATAAATTAATTCTCTACTTTGTCTTAACTTCTCTTGTAATTCTTTGTATTTATTTATTTTGTAAATATAATTTAATTCAATGTTTCTATCTTGACATATATCAACATCATTAATATATCATTTTTTTCTTTGATGATTTGATAATATATATCTGATATTCTAGCATTAAACGAATGGTCACTAACCAATAAATCATTAATGTAATTTATAACCATTTCATTATTATTAATATATTTATGATGTGTATTAAAATCTATTTTATCAAATTCATTAAAATGAGTAATTAATATATGTTTATATATTTGTTTACATACATATTCATGTTTTAATATTTGATTATTCTTCATTACATTATAACAAAATATGAATAATAGATGGAATTGTGTTAGGACAATGTTTACAATATTTTAATATATCAATATGAAGTATTTTAGATTTAATATTTCTTGTCATAGTTACTCCTTCTTGCATCTTTACTACTTGGAGGAATGCATTTCTTTTTATATTTAATGACATCCATGTGGCTACTGATAATTTCATAATATTAAATATACAATTTAGATTTCTTATATATTCACTACATTTCTTTCCATCCATTTAAATATCTTTCATTTATTTTATTTGTTACAAATTCAAATACTTTGTTTATATCATGTTTTATTTCATTTATTTGTATTATATTAATTCATTGAAATTAATCTTTCTTATAAAATGGTCTCTTCATTCTTTTAATTATTCCATTTGGATTCTCTTTTACTGTTTCTATCATTTCTCCTATTTCTGTATTTGATATTTATATTTTAAATATATTCTTAATAATTCATTACAACATTCATCTCGTTCTGACATTAATCACATTCCTAATTCATTTATTGTAACATACAATCTACTTTTATTGATGTTTCTACTGTATAGTTGAAGTTGTATCAGTGCCTTTCTTATTTGTTTATCTATATTCTCAAACTCACCAAGTTTCCATGGGACAATACAGAATCCATATCTTAATTTGGAGATTATATTGCTATTAATCTTTCTAATTGTATTGAGGCTGCTATATTTCATATTATTTAATGATGATAGAATAGAAGATACATCATTTAATATTCTTGTACAATATTTATTAATATTTATTTTATCTCTTATTTCAATACCAAGATATTTATAAGGGTTATCATTAGTTACTCTTGGTAATTCAGCTAATTCTCCATTTATCTGACTATTGATATTAGTCATTATCCCACTCTTTTCTATATTTATTTTTAATCATATTCTATTAAATATTTCTTTTGTTAATTTGTATGTTTTTTTTTCCATTTCTTCGAGGCTGTTAGTTATTATATTTAAATCATCCATATATAACATGTGGTTTAACTGGACTTGTTTTTCTTCTCCATTCATTTTAATAGATAACTTATTAATTTGTTTATCTAATTGTTTAGATAATATATCAATAAATAATACAAATAATAATGGAGATAAACTATCATATTGTATTATTCATCTTTCTACATTAATTATACCAACATTTTGTTGATTATAATATAATTTGAGTTGTGTAATATTTAATATATATAATATACTTTTAATTACAACTAATGGGATGTTAAAATAAATTAAACAATGTTTAACAAATTGATGATTAATATTATCATATGCTTTAGAGATATCATAATATGTTTCTACCCACTTCCATTTAGCCTTGATTAATAACTGAATGATTATAGTATTGTATAATAATCATTCTTTTGATAATATGTATATTTTTTACATCCAATTTGATTTTGTGATAATTGTTTTTCAATTTGATTTAACATCAGTTGGCTTTCTATCTTCATCTTGAATAAAGATGTATATACTTTTAACATACAATTTAAACAAGTTATTTGTCTGTAATTTTTTGTGTGTCTAATTTATCTCCTTTCTTGTATATTAATATTGTCCTTCTTTGGATAAATTGAAGAGGGATATCATTATGATTATACAACCATTCATTAAATAATTTTAATAAGAAATTCTTTGGTTGTTCTAAATATTTAATCAATAAGCATTATATTTTATCAATTCCAGGTGCTTTCCAATTAGCAATGAATTTAATTACATGATTTAATTCATCTAGAGTGATTATATATATTCTATTATTAATTCTATTTTCAATTAATATGTAATATAAATTAATATTTATGAAATCTATATTAGTGTTATTTTCATAGATTCATTTCAATAAATTAATTGTAGTAATATTTTCAAGATATTCATCTTCTTTAGGTTTATTTAGAAGTTATCTCTTTCATTATTTTATCATTTTATAATTCCATCTAATTCTTTTCCAATTATTCTTTCTTACTTCTATTTCTATTCTTTTCATTCTTTGAAGATATTTGTAATATTTTATTTGATCATTTATTTTTACTTTAATATGATATATATCATATTTTTTAATATGTAATATTCTTTTTAATTTCATATATTGATTATTATGGAGCAAGTCTCTTAATCTACATATTTTTGATTGTAGTATTCTTTCTATACTTCTCTTTCAACTTCTTTCTTGATTATTATTAATAATGATGTTAATAGTGGAGGTTATAGTTTTAATATAATGGTAGTAATCATCTAATGTATTGATTACTATTTCATTTGTATTAATGATATTAATTATTTGATGTATTTTGTTTTTATTGTAATAATAATTAATAAATAATACTTCTTCTTGTTATTTCATTTATTCTTATTTATTTATTCTTATTATTTCTTGTATTTCTTCTTTCTTATTTATTTTATTAATTCTTTTAATTCAATATCATTCAATTTGTGTGTTATTGTTTCTTCTTCATTTCTTTTATTGACTTCAATTTTATTTTCATTCTTTATTTTAAATATTTTCTTTATTATTTCTTTATATTCATTAATATCTTTTATTTTAATATCAAATTCATGTATTAATCTTTTTATTTCTTCTTCTTTAAGTTGATTTCTTAATTTTATTTCTAATAACTTCAGTGCAAAACATTTATAGAGTGTTAGAATTTCTTCTTCTCTATTTGTTTGTTTCAATTGTTTTTTGAATGTCATGATCAGATGTGGTGATCTTCTTATGATGATTTCACATCTCTTCGATTGAATTCTGCGTTAACTTTCTTTTTTTTGGAAGATCATCTTTATTTGATGATATTTCATCAGTTACTACAACATTGGGGGTGAGGTTATTCACAATTTGTGTTTTAGATGAGTCAGATATAATGTGATTTATCTATTCTTTCTTCTTTTCTTCTTGTGTAATTTTATTTTGTAATTTAAATAATTTATCTTTCATGAAGTATACTTGTTGTGATAAATTGCTTACCTCAGACCTTTTCCTTTCTGATTCAGCATTTAATTCAAATAATTTTCTATCAATTTCTTGTTTTTTAGTGTTTATCTCATTCTCATGATTCTTCTTTAATGACATAATGTCATTTGATAATTTATTAATGGTCTGGTCCTTCTTTTGTATTTCTTCATTTCTTCTTTCTCTTTAATAGCCTCCTCTATTCTTTTCTTTAATTCTTCTATTCTTTTATCTTTTTCATTCTTCTTTTCTTCTTCTTCTTTTAATTTAATATTTTCTTTTTCATTATGCTTCTTCTTCTCTTCAGTAAATTCATTTTCATCATCATTTTCAACATTCTATATTTCTTATTTAAGTATTTATCATTTATTTCATTTTTATTTAATTGTTTATCATCTTCTTCAAGTGTCATACTGATAGTTTCTTCTTCCATTCTAATCATTTTTATTTTTTCTCTTGTAAGTAAATACCATCTTCTCATTATTGTTGATAGTACGTATTCTTTAATCTTATTGTTCTTAATTTATTCTACTTATTGTAGTGTAAGTATTTTAATTTCTTCCTCAATAGTCTTTTCCAATATTCTTGGTTTTCTACTTCTATCATTTCTTTTATTTCTTTTATTTCTTATTTGTTGTTGTCTTTTATTATGGTATTGTTTATATCTATGTTGTGTTTTATTATGTGATTTATTTGTATTATAATATTGATTGATTCTATTTGAATTATTGATAAAATACTTATGATGATAAAAAAGAATAAAGTGATGAATGAAATGAATCATACCATTATTATTATAATTGTTATGATAATTGTTATGGTGATAATCATTAATATGGCAATGATTAATGTGATGATTAATGCATTTCTGTCCATACAGATAATACGTGTTTTCACTCATTCTTCTATCATTTATATTTCTTGGATGAAATGGATTTCTCCTTCTTTTGTTATTGATTGTTTTTATAATTTTTGTGGTGTTTCCTGTAATGCTTCGGCATTTTTTTGAGTTATATATGACATAAAATGAAAAAAAAACGGAACTTGATTAAACAAAAACGAGCATCATCAAAAGTGATGCAAGAATCATCACCATTGTAGAGCCATTAGAAACTAATGCTCCTGATTTCAAAGAGTTAGTACCCTCTAAAGGAATAGTTCCATTTGAACAAACATAGGCACAAGCTTGTTCAGGGGTTCTGATAGTATCCTCAACGTCTTCGAAGAAGTTTTTCCAATTACCTTTAAAAGCTGAACAAATACATTTTTGGTCATCTTTTTTGGGATTGTCACAATAGTCTTTTTGAAGAACAATATGATTTTTGCATGTTTTACACATTTCAGATGTAAATGAACAACTTGGAAGACGAATTTTTTGAATATAGTGATCGATAGAATTTGATTTTGTTGTAGGGACATTTACAGCAAAAGAGACAGCAATAAGAGTCAATAATAACATAATAAAATTATGATTTTAAAGTTTTTTT